AAAAAAAAAAAAAAGGAAAGGAGAAGAAAGTTGAAGAATTTTTTTACTAACAACAATTATGCTGATGCTTTAAACCTAAAATTTAGTAAATCTTTCTACTGTTGACTTAATGAGTGCTGATGTCTGTGCTTAGGTTAAGTGTTCGTCAATTGCATTTCTGTATGATCAAACAAAAGCAATTTGGGTGCGTAGCAATTGCAGGCAGCAAAGGGGTAACCGTTGTGTTGTTTGTTCCGCATGGATAGAACGGTTTTGCCCATGTGGTGGTGCTGTCTCAATATCAACAGTATTTTTATTCGTTGATGCTGATGTTGATGGTTGTGGTGGTGGTGGTGGTGATGGTGATGGTGATGGAGGTGGCGCCACTGCTATTGCTTCTGCTGCTGCAGCAGCATGATGTTGACGGTGATGACGATATTAATGATGACGGTAATGGTAATCATTGATAACGTTCAATTAATACTGAACGATTGTCTTAGAAATTTATTTATTGTTCAAACTGAACTCTTTCTGTTGCCTTCTCTGAAAAGTTTTATCGCTTAGTGACTAATAGTGTTGTTTTTCCTCCTTTTTTTTTTGTTCGTTCTCCTGCAATGCTACAGATTACTGATACAGTTTCGACTAAGGTTAGACTTTATTATTGGATCGCAAAAAAAAGAGGAAAAAAAAATCAGGTTTTTTTTTTCTTTGTTTGTTTAAGAAAATTAGTGTGAAGTGCGAAAAAATATTGTGTACAATAACATAAAATTTGATTAAAAATAAAAGTTGTTGAATTTTTCTTGGTTTTTTTTCTTTTTTCTTTTTTCTTTTCTCATCACAAAGTCATCAATAATTTGGGTTCTTTTGATGTGGTATAACTTTTTATGTGACGGCTGTTAAAAATAATGGTATTTTTTTCTGTTTTTCAACTGTAAACTTTGTGTTGCTATTAAAGGGAAATTTTTTGATGACAACAATGATTTGTTTAGTAGCTGTTGGTACAGATGAATTCGACGAAATATTTTACTGTTCAATTTTGGTTGCTTTTCTTTTTTTTTTTTGTGCTGTCTTCATTTTTTTCTTCTTATATTTGTTACAGTTTTACTTTTAGACGACATCATACCAAAAGACTGAAGTTTATATGGTTAAGGCAACTATATTTTCCAATTTAAAAACAACCCTCTGGCTTGTACGCCATGGTGAACGTATCGATAACGTCATTGACGACTGGCAACTGCTTTACAACGAATGCAGCATTGATAATCCACCACTGTCATTTAGGGGACAAGGTTTTTTCAACAGTTTTATTCATTTTCTTTTTTTGAAAATATCAATTAAATTTTTTTTTTCTGGATAAAATTTTTTTCACAACTAATACTGCCGTGATTTACCCAACATATAAAAAAGAAGAATGATGAAGAAATGTTAATAAATGGGTCATCTCCTGCTTTTTTAGTTTTCGCTATCAGTGTTAAGTCTTTGCTATTCTAGAACAAGCAGAAGAAACCAGGTTACGTTTCAAAGACGTCAAACTTGACCACGTTTTTGTTTCACCATTTGACAGATGTTTGGAAACAGCGGCTCGTATTATTAAAGATCGACCACTGAGGATGAAAGTTGAACCGGGTTTTATTGAAGTAATCATCTCATCTTTTTTTCTTTCTATCTGATATAGAATATACTGATTTTTTGTGCTCTGCATCTGCTGTATTTACCTAGAAAATAATCTATAGTTTTTGAGGTAGAATTTGATTATGAGCATTTACAGGTCATAAAAATTCTGGGGT